TTTTTCGTGCGTTGCTTTGACATGGTCTGATGACAGGCTTGTTTTGAATTCAGCTGAATAGCATTTGCGAAGCCGTTTCTGTCAGCTTCAAACAGCCCCATAGCCATTGTGGAAAGGAAAGGAGGTCCAATCGCACCGAGCACTTTTGCCTGGAAAGACAGTAAGTTGAAGTTTTTTTGAGAGAAAGGCTCCTTCCTAACCATCAGCATCTTCGGGTTTTCAGTAACTAGTTCTTATGTTCAGTGAATGTATCTTCTGCTTTTCATTCATCGCAGTTTTTCCATGTCATTTGAGGTCCTGGGACATTGCTTTCCAGAAGACATGGAGAGGTGCGGACTGTTGTCGACGAAATGTTCGAACAGATCATCGGCGATCCGTTTCGGACTCATGGAACTAGAGAGAGTGAAACGGCGAGGTCTGCAAGTTCACCAGCCAAATCTGCAAGTTCTTTAGCAGAATAGGTGCATCGCTACTAGTAACAAGTGCATCGCTACTAGTAGTAACAAGTGCTCTCAATTAAGTAGGTGCCTACTTAATTAAATAAGGGCGACTAGTTCGCTCCCAAGAACAGGACGCAGGATAGCTCGCACTAATGCTTTGGTTTCTAGATTTTAGGGAAACTTAAATCAGCCAGTTCACCCGCCTAAAGCCATCTGAGAATCAACATCCTGTACAAGCCTCAGATGTTTGCCCTGCACTCCGCCATTTCTCAAACGATACCTTCAATAGCTATTGGCTTCCCCAAGGTAGACACACAGTTCTGTTGGGAACTCTCCAGTGATTCCTTCACCTTTGCACTTCTTTGCTCCCATTCACATGTTCTTCTGCTTAGGATTGATCATTCTTTGGGATGCTACCTCGAAAAGATGTCCTCCTCCCATTTCGCTCCACGAAACCCCTCGTTTCGATCTAAGAGCGACCCGAACCTGGGCGAACGTTCGCAGGTGGTCGGCGCTGCTGGGCACGATGAGCCTTGGAGAATGGGCACGGGGAATGGAGAACCTAACCTATCTTTCTTCGCTCCAAAAGGATGAGGTGTTATATACTACTAGCTTCTTGCCACAAGTAGCGATGGCCTCCAACCTACTTGCGATGGCCTCCACCTAGTAGCGTCCTAATGCTCTCTTGTTTTTTCCTTTTGAGAATCGAAAGACATTGCATGGATGGTGGCGAAAATGTAAACCATGTTCCAGATCCAAGGGCTCTCCAATGCGCTCCCTTTCTTTCCAATGTGGGTGTGTTTTTACATATCCCACGCGCTTCCTTTCTACATGTGTGTGCTCTACTTTGGACCCTATGAAAGCAAATTAATGAAAGCCAGTGTGTTTGCTTTTGCTATGAAAGAAGGTCGAAGGCCACTGAGGTTCGTTGCCAGGCGCATTCTTGTGCATGTGGTGTTTGTTTTTCCCCCCCAAGGCTAGAATCGCATGAGGACGGCTGCGTTGAAATCTGCTTCGAGATGTACTCGGTACCTTATGACTTGATTTCTTCTCACGTGGACAAACCCGAACTCAGCCCACCCGAACGCGGGCGCTTCAGCTGAGGATTCCCAGCTTCGGGCAGCGGCTGAGCGAGGCGCCGGCGCTGGCGGAGACGCTGCACCGCCGGACGCAGCAGCAGCTCTTCGAGAAGCGATGACCGGCCTTTTCATGTTTTCAGACGAAAAGAAGCGGGGGAGGAGGAACCATGAGATGAACCATGAAGCGGAGAGAGATGGTGAAATCGATATTTGTGTGTTTTTTCTTTTTGTTCCGAAGTCCTTGTTGTTGATTGGGGCTTTTTGGGGCTTTGACATGCCGGTGTGCTGTGCTTTGAGGTGGGTGACATGGCATGGCAAGAGATTTGGGAACATGGACCATGGATGAGATAAGTGACCGGCCGAAAGAGACAATAGAAATGGACGAACATAGAGAAACAGATCAAATATGGCTGATTCTTTACATGTTTTAATACCCTGATTTCCAGCAGAGACTCGTAGGTCAGAGCGTTTTTTTCATTTTGGGGAGGAAGAAGAAGGTCACTTGGAGTCTGTAGGTCTCCAGAGCCTCACGTGTTGCCTCCTTCTTGGGATCGGAACATGATCTTTGGAATTCGAAGGAGAACTAATTGGAAAGCACGCAATCCAGTCCTAACCAAAACAACTAGCAAGTTAGCAGCAGATGTTAGAGAAAGTTTTGCCGGATTTGATGCGACTCTTGGTTCACTTCGTTTGAAACCGCAGGGCGAACCGCAGGGTCCGAAGAGGCCATCGTTGGTCTGAAAATCTTTGAAAAGCCTGGTTTTGGAGCGTGAAAAACCTGTGCTTGTTGACGGGACTTGTGTGGGCGAGCGAGCCTGTGGAAATTTTCATATTGAAAGGATCTTTGCAGAAGGTTCGTTGTGCTGATGCATTTCTTGATCTGGTGATGGGTTTTGGGACACTGAGGGCGAGCTTGCTCACATCGTCAGAGGCTCAAGGAGATATAGCACATGAGGCTGAACTCCCATGTCTTGCATAGGCTTTGGGCGCTTTCGCCACACTCATCGGTTTGGTTTTTCCTCAGGGGCGGGTGGAGATGAGACAGATGAAACACCATGTTCAAGTCAGGAATGAACATGTAGCGACGTCGCTGCCGTTCGGAAAGGATTTCAACAAACTCTTCGGGGCCGGGTGAAACCCGGTGAAACCCAAACGGACCGGTTCCATCGGGCGATCCTCCGTGTGGTGAACGAAACCAAAAAACGTTCACCCTTTGGCTTTCACTAGTAACAAGAAGCTAGTAGGAACAATTCTAATTAAATTCTTATTGTTACTAGTAGTAAGACACTTGTTTCTAATAGCAAACATTGTTACTACTAGTAAGGCACTTGTTATTACTAGCTTCTTGTTACCCCCCACCCGATGTCGACCTCGAAACCAAAAAAAAGTTCACCCTTTGGCTTTCGCTGCGACCGGTGACCCCGGTGGAGCTGGAAACGCCATGAGCGACAAGTGGGGAGGCTCAGTGCTGAAGATGTGCGGTTTCGAGCTTGTGCAACCGCATCAGAAGGTGATTTTGGGCGGTGTCCAAAGGAAATCTGCAGTTGCGAGTTCAATACAAAGTCTCAACGGAAAAGAATATGAAATGTGTGGTGGGCTGCCAGGTGCTGGGCTTCCAAAATGAATGCATTAACACATGTGGCCGCCTCAACTGGGGGAAATCAAGAGCTCATCGAGCCGGGGCCAAGAACAGTTGCTTTAGTCAAGCTGCGAAATTCAACCATGGAAGGCCAGATAGTGAGCCTTCACTTTGGGGCGTTTCAAAGTGGAGTTGTCTGGTGTGCCGATCCACCATGAAATCAGCCAATCAAAGAAATATGAGCGGAGGCCGCTAGTGCCAGAACATTTGAAGCCTTTGAAGGCGTGAAGCTGGTTGCACCCTAGGAACCCGTCGGAAAACTTCTGTTGTCTTTTCATTTGAGGCATAGAAGAACACATTCCAAAGGCACTTGATGCTTTCGTTTACCCCTTCGTTCTTCATTTGCCATCCGTTGACCCGATGTCCAAGACCGCTTCCGCCTTCCTTTGTCGCCCCGCAGGATGCTCTTCGAAGGGACGCTGGTGCTGGTGGCGGGCGGCGCCTGGCTCCGCGTGGGCTCCATGATGGCCACGGATCTCTCCGAGAGGCGGAGCGTGGACGCGGAGGCGTCCGCGGTGTGGCCATGGCGTGAGACCTCCGTGACTGCAGAGAAAGTGGAGGTTTTCTAAAGGTGTTCTTCTGGACACGGCATCTCTGGCACAGACATGCGCAGACGTGATCATTGACTCGTCCATGGGGGATCTGTCTCCCTGATGGGCTGACTGAAGTCATGTTTCATGGTCTTCATGTTTGATAATGTAGAGGTGACATCAATAGCACCTGATCTTGGTGGAATGTCCATCCGTCGTGGACTTGCTTTTGAAGGTGCCCTTTGAAGCGCCAGAAAAGCCCAAGCCTCCAGATGCAGATGGGAAGTCGTACTTGACAGGATCATGGCTGAACTTCAAAAATGCACCAAGTCACCAAAGTCATTGAATTGTTTTTTCAAGAAAAGACCAACAGTAAACCGCTTCACCGAAGACACGGAAGACATGGTCGCTTTGTTTATTGCGGTCTTCCTTCCTTGTTTTGTTCTTCGCTTCTTTTCACTTTCGGAATGGACCTCCCAGTTGCCGCTGCTGCGGTGGCTGCTGCTGCAGCTGCGTGGCCAGTGAGTTAAGGCTTCGGGAGGGGAGATGTGTTTGTGACACGGTTTTCACGTAGGAGACAACAGTGAGGGAAATTGTGTGTATCAAGAACAAATGTGAACAAATGTATAAGCAAATCCAGAATTAAAGCACAGCAAGGTATAGAGCAGATACATTTCGTGAGACACCAATGAGGTTCTCCATTCACTCGAGTCCTTTGGCAAAAGATCATTAAGCAAAAGCTGCCTCCAGTTTCCGTTGACAGCCAGGACACCATAACACGTGCACAAAGAAATGAACCACATGAGCGAGCTTATTGTGTAGTACCTACGTAGGGCATTTCCCACTGACTTTGGATGAAGTCTACATAACATCATTTTTGCTGCTTGCGCGTCCACTTCGCCGTTGCCCTGGAAACACTGAGTCAACTGATAAGGCAAAAGAACAAAACTCACCAATCAATTGATGGCAGGTCATCACATCATATCACATCCAACATGAGGCGTCCAGGCGTCCAAGATAGAGACCGAACCTCTGACTCCGCATAGAGTACCATGACACAGACCCTGAAAGCTTAAAAGGGGCAGCCTCGAAGAAGAAAAGGGGGGAAACCAAACATCATCGGTGGAAAAGGAGGAAGAAACTTAAAATTGTAAAAGAAAGTTGACTACGTGATAAAGATCCCTGTTATGTTTCTTGTTTTCTTTTAGAATTTCAAGAACATGGAGAAGTGATGAAACCTCATCGTCCTCGACCAGCAGCGATCAGCGATCATTCTTTGCATCGCCAGGTGGTGGGGCAGCCGGCTGATCTTCTTGGGAGGCAACGCACCTTTGGGAGTCCACGTTTGGGTGGCTAAATGGGGTAGAAAAGGTCAGCACGTTCATTAGAAGTGGTAAACTTGATGTTGTCCTTCTTTGGCCCTTCAAACCTCTCATTCATTCTCTCTTTCTCCAAAGAATCGAAGTTGACCACGTACAAAAGTACCCAGCTCTTTAAAGCTGTCTCGAGGGATCGAAGCAGTAACAAAGGCAAAACTACTAGTAACAAGTGCCTCGCTACTAGTAGCTTCTTGTTACTAGTAGCGATGAGTGGCGATGGCCTCCACCCTAGTAGCGATGGCCTCCACCTTCCTAGCGATGCCATGCAAATAAAGTGTCTAGAAAATGTTCGCATGCGACATGGTTTCCTCCATCGTCATGACTGGTAAAGCATCACTTGGTGGCATGTGGCTAGTGCAGTCTTCCCTGCAACTGCACTCTTCCGGACAACCTGTGCGTTTTCTTCCCAGCTGGTCCTCCCGCGTGGTCTCAAACGACAATGCTGCAGGCGCTCACCCAAACTCCCCGAGGTTCGGTTCGCCGGAAAAATCATGGCCTTTTCCCAGGTCTGGGCATGGTTGTGTTGGCCGTCGCCACCCTGGCCGACACGGACTGCTGAGAACTTCGAGCCCGCTTCTTTTGTCTTGGGAGAAAAAAGATAAGAAATGCATGTGGGGGACCCCGCTTGCTTTCCGTTTTGAGACAAGCGGACTTCACTTGAAAGTTTGATCGTAGAACAAACCAAATCTCGTGCAGAAACCATCTCAAACTCCTAACTCCTATAGCTTCTGTGTTGACT